TGATGTTCACTGATACTAGTACTAATTTATCGAAACAAAGAACACAGTTACCACATAGCAAACATAGTGTACCATACAGCAAATAAATCAAATGAAAGTAACATCTGTGAAATAGTGAATGCACACTTACTCTAAGATTCTGAATGGAGTTGAAAACTGAACGAGTGCCCCCTTACTGTGAGAGATGCAGGTGAAGGCAAGAGTGGTGTATTCAGTCCTAAAGTAATTTTATAAACAATTTTAAGCATTTTTTCCCCCACAGTACCTTAGTATAGCATGCATACTTCATGAGAAAACAGAATGCCAATAACAAAGAAACTACATTTTAACACTATCAACCACAAATAATATTACCATATAGTCTAGGCATAATAAAAGTACAATTACTATACTGTGCACTTACTTAGTATAATTTTCCAGCGAACTCAAAACTGAACGACACGTGTGCCTTTCTTGTGCATTTATGCGAGTGATGCAGCCACAGTCCTAAACGAAAACTGAAACAGTTGTTAGCAATTACCAGAAGATGCATAGCTGATAAATAAATTGCATCACTGATAAGAAAGGACGCGCGTATATTTCTGTCGATGCATCACTTATTTACAGCTTACATGATACATTTACACATCAGACGATCGTGAACGCCAATGACCGAGTATAAAACATTCAACATATTAACATTATAACTCATATTACTTTTATATCGTTGCTGTCTATTTTATAGAACATAAAAAAAAAACTTCCTGGCGTTGTGAGACATGTATGCAGTGAATGAATCTTCATAATGTTCCACTTGATTGTACATTTAGTCAGGAATCATGGTTTGGAAAAAGTAACTAGTAAAATATGTACAAGTTATGTACACAATAGCAATTAATGCAAGTAGGCAAATAAAGAAAGACTAGGCATTCAGCATCCACAATAACCAGCTGGAATGGCCTTATATGGTGAAAGTTTTGGAAGAATGTGGGTTTGGTAGTCGTTTTGTGTCATGGATTACAACATTATATGCTCACCTAACCTCTTCTGTACTTACAAATCAAGAGAAGTCAAAGCCATTTTTATTGCATGGTGGGACAGGTCAAGGGTGTCCCCTCAGTCCTTTGCTTTTTCGAACCTCTTGCAACCTCTTGCAATCAGTATTAGAAATCATTCATCTATCAAGCCTGTAAATCTGGGAAATGTGGATCATTACATTTCCTTATATGCAGACGATATTGTTCTTTTCCTGAACAGTCAGTCCCTATACTCTTAGATCTTATCAAATCATTTGGTACGGTCTCTGGGTATACAACTAATTGGCAGGAGAGGGAATTCATGTCTTTAGGTGCTGATCTTGATACTGAATTCTTGCATAATCTCCCTTTTAAAATCACAGACAGACTTAAGTATCTTGGAGTTGTTCTGCCCCCAAAAAAAACAAATTAATTTTTAAGCTGAATTTTCTTCAGAAATTGGAAGATTTGAAGATAGACATAAGCAAGTGGAGGACACTTCCTCTCTCTATGATAGGCCGTATAAACGCTAAGCACAAACTCCTGCTATTTCTAAACATCACCACTAGAGGACGCCACTGCACCTCAAAGAGAAAAGCTGGACCACTGACCTCTACATATGGAACAGCTTTCTTAAAAATAACTAAGATTCTTTTGGAATCGACTGTGATCACAGAATAATGGTTTTTCAGCTTCTGTTCGAGTGAAACATGCAATCAAATTTATTAGATAAAGAATATTGAGGAGACACACCAAGCAGTGTGACATGCTCATATTGTTTTAAACCAATTTTCATATTCTTTTATAATTATCATTAATTCGGTTGTATGTGTATTTTTTGTTTTCTGTTTTGTTTTGTATTTTTTTTTTGTTCAAATTAATTTGACACACCATAAGACATTTTTAAAGGTAAAAAAGTCATTTTTAAATGTCTTTTATACTCTTTATTAATATACATTGCCTTATATATTTATTTTATACACATTTTAACCTAAATTCTTTGTTTTAATCTTGAGGCAAAAGTTATTTGTCACACTCTTATGACTTCAGTAAAGATTGTGTCACATTTCAGAAGCCAAAAGCGCAGATAGGTTTTGGAGAACTTTCCCTCAAAATTGCCGGTGCATGAAATGTTTGGAGTAATACAATTATAGCCATAGTAATACAATAATAAAACATATTAGTGAAGTGGATCTGAAATGAGCTGTGATGATATCCTGTGGTGTCTGTCTGCAGCATGAATGAACAGAGCTGGCAGTGTTTGCACAATGGTCACATTACTCACTGCCCCTCTGCAATGTTATGCTTAGGTTGTCCAGTTATGTCACGTGTCGGATTCTGCCATCCCATGCCCCGTGTAGGATTTTGAATGCTGTGATGTAATTTTACTGCATCCCTGTCATTCACAATGAGACTAGGACTAGAATGTCTTGAGGGAAGGTGTGGAAGAAGGAAATCCAGTCTTAGCATCCAGAAATACTGTTATTGTTTAGACTATTTCATCTCAGAACCATCTCTGAATTTATTTATTTATTTATTTATGAATGAATGAATGAATGAATGAATGTGGATTGGAGTTTTCAAATTACAGAAGATGGAAAAAAATATTAATGAATGTCTAGAGGGAAGGTGTCGAAAAATGTGAGTCTATTATCTATGATTTAATAATCTCAGAACCATCTCAGAATTATAAAAAAAAAATTTCTTTTGCTTTATTTTTAAAATATTTTTTTCTTCTTTTATTCTTCTTCTTTTTTATTTTTATTTATTTTTAAATTTCTTACTTAAATAAATTATTTTATTTTAGGCAATAATTGCAATATATGGGAACTGGAGTTTTCAAGTTTAATAAAGGATGAAAAAAATAATAAATGTCTTCAGGGAAGGTGTTGAAGAATGAAATCCAGTGTTAGCATCCTTAAATACTGTAATTATCTAGATGATTTAATCTCAGACCCACCTATCAATTATTATTTCATAGTTTTTTTCTTTTATTTATTTATTTATATTATTTATTTGTTATCATATCTAATAATTATAATGAATAGTGGCTTGAGTTTCAAAAGTTTCAAAACAGATGAAAAATTAAAAATGAATTTAATGTCATGATTATTATTTGATATTATTATTATTATTAAAAAAAAATTATTTGCAAGGCCTACTTCTTTTTATGTAGGCTATATGTTATTCTCATAAAAACATAAATTATTGTATAATATGGTTCTTTACATTCCAAAATGTCATTCTGAAGAGGAATAAAACAAACAAAACAACTAACAAAAACACAAAAAACAAAACAATAACAACAAAAACAACTACAGAATTTTCTATTTTATTATTATTATCATTATTATTATTATTTTGCTAATTTAGGTTTTTAAATCCTTAAAAAATCATCTTGAGTATATACGGTGATAAAACAAATGCAAAACAGTTTCTTTTTCCAATCCACAAAATTCCCAGGTATGTGAAATGCACAGCTTAAATCTTGGAGTGTGTAATATGAATTCTCAGAAAGCTGTTCTGATGTCATAAGGCCAGTCTCCGCCCACTCCGCTGTCCTTTTCTCCCTCTTCCATTCTCTCTCGCTCTATCTCTGAGTAATCTCCTCTGGGCTTTCCATCCCAGTCAGAAAAACTTGTCATCAAACTGCTCCAAAATGTGTGACCCAATCCTAGCCTGAGAACCCATGCCCATGTGACACACGTCAGCCAATCAGGGAGGCCCATGGTCCCTTACCTCCTGAAGGAAATGTACATTCAGGGTGCATGACTGTTTCTATTTATACTTTCTTTGGCAGCAAACATTACAACAACTGTTAAAATCATAACTTAACATAGCGCCACACAATGTGATCTGGGAGACCTAGGTGTTGACTGAATCAACGTGAGCGAAGTCCTAGGGATATATTAAATAACAACACTCTGGTGACACAGATGCTATACACATACAAATGCGGCTCAGCACTTCATAGAGTGCAAACAGACCGAAAGCAAATATGCAGACTCAAATTAATGTTTTCATGTACACATATGGGAGATTCAGAAAAACATGCCCACATTTCACTCCCAAAATCAAATGGAATATATATATATATATATAGTGCGAAGATGCAGCATTGTGACATTATTAAATGACTCCAATTTAGCATTTAATTATGATCATATAGTACACATTTGATTTGATTAATTACATAAAAAAAGTGTTTT